CGAGCGGAATAAGTGAACGCATAGGGTCCATGCTTTGATATGGCCGATTTATTCTCTAAGGAAATGAGGGAAAACAAGGAGCGTCTTTACTCATCAAACTTCGTCGTTTGTCTTTTATTTGACCAAATGAAACGTAAACACACCTACCACTTCGATCCATCCCAACCCTTATACACTTTTTGAATCGACAATGCCGGCACGAACATCGCATATTCTTGTCGATAATACAATCACCGTTGTTTTTGCAGGAATATGTTCGATTCTGAAATTGCAGTGGACAATAGAATCGCATTAAAAGAGTAACTAGTAGAGTATGTAATCCCGCTCTGATTGTAATGCACTTGAAAACGCCTGATTCATTTAAAATCAATCTTTAAGAGCCACAACGTTTTGAATATTTACAATAGATGAGTAAACAAAAGATCTACAGATCCTGTACGATTAGTGAGAAGGACACACATGACAACGCCAAGGTTTCTTTGCCTTCAGTGAACCAACTGACTGATAGAATGAAAATCTCTAGTACCTCCAGAACCACTCTCCTGAAGAACGTCTTGCAGCCATTACATGCCGCTACCGCATAATGAATTCCGGATGCCGCATCTCCACATACCACACACGGATCTCCTTAACGGCATATTTTTAGTGAATAGAGAAGTAAATAGAAACAAAATATCTCAATAGAAAAAACTATGAAAGGAAATCTTCTCAGCAGGCAACCTGACAGCATAAGCACTTATAGCCGTAACTGTTATGCAATGTAAGAATCCGAGAGATATGCGAAAATTTCTGGCAAAACCCTCATTTTTATTAAAAGCACATTCCTGGCAGAAGTCGTGTGGATGGTTCTCCTCCGTCTATAGGATAGACCCCTAGAGGAAATCACAGATGTGGTAATCCGTGTAAGAAAGCGCACTAGGGCCTTGAAAAGTAAGCTGCAGCAGCTGCAACTTCTGTTCTTTTACCAGACTTGTCAAGGCGCCTCTCATCTGTTGCGCTCTCTCGCCTCATACTTTCCGCACTTAGTCTCTCACTGCATTAGCACAGCCTACTATAGAAGGTGAGTGAGCCCTTAACCAGCGTTTTTTGACGAATTCTTTCATTTTCTTCTTCACTGCTGGCTCATTTCTTGATCCTGAAGCACACCAACCGATCTTGAATATGCCTTGTAGTGATGATCGTCACAATACATCAGGCCAACCGTCTCACTCGACCGCTTTCGAAAACTCACGACCCCCTCTTAGAAGGTTCGTAATTCGAACCTCTCTCCCTCACTAAAATTCGTAGAGGGGAGGCACCAACAATTACGATTGCTCCCTTACCAAGCTGCACCTCACCACCATGACCGCTTGATAGTGTTTGTTTTTGGAATCAATCGACATAATCCTAACAGGTACCCCAGTTCTGCCAAAGTTACCCGTCGAGCGAGTGGTATTCAGAAGAGGATGCGTGACCTAAGCTCCATGTGGCCCATTCATGCATTTTGGGGACAGTTCATCAAAGATACTAAAATGACTCTCTCTTCCAAAACTGCGACCTCTCCCATCTTCCTCAAATACTAAACCTTTCCTGAGAATTGAAATTACGACTCCACGTTTAAAATGCTCATATGAACACTTTATCCTTACGATTAGGCCCAAATTCCCTTCGACCATCGCTGTACGATTTTGACACCGCTCCCCTCTTACCCTCAACTTATCAATCTCTAAAACAAATTGTCCCAAGTTCTGCCCTTAGCAGTGAACCAGCCCTTTGGCGAGTTGCTGACGTGGCCTGCAACCATGGCTTACCACTCCTCCTAACGTACCGAGGCGAGTCCAAGTGGCTCGTCGACCTCGGGACGCCCATTCCCTCCCCAAACAAATCAGAAATAGCGACCCCGCAGACACGCCACAAAGGCTGGTTTCGCTTAGCTTTTCTGCTACCCCTAAACCTCAAGTCCTTCACTCTCTTACCGCCTCTGATGCTTTCAATAACCTTTTCAAAAGATGGTGACAAGAATTGTCTGGCTTTGATTCACATTTGGCTTGAATCCTTTAGGGAGCAAGTGGATAAAACGATGCACGCGTTGCTAGCTTTCACAGCAATGCTAACCCCTACCTACCGTGGGTTTCTGACCCATGGACGCCAGAAGTTTTTGTAGCACGCCATCAATCAAACCTATTGTATCAAATAGTCTACACTCTCGGGTTGTGCTTGTCAAGGCCACATCCCTAGTGACAGAAGGATCTTTTTTTTCCTTAGTGAGACTCAATTTAGAAACTTCAAAACAAAAACATCATGTCAAACCTGGCGTGAATCGTTTTGATGAGTCATTTCGAGAGTGAATACTCTGAGTATGTCGTGAGCCATTGGAGTTTCTCGAATTACACTGGCTAGTATCGTCGTCATCTCGCAAGTGCATAATCTGAAAATTGTTATCATAGTCATGCGGCTCACGTTGCTAAGCTGAAAGAAGTTGAACAAACATCGGAAAAGAAATGATCGCGAGGAATCCGCAGAGTTAAACCCCACGCGAAAAGCGCTTGCCTATTCCACTGGTGCGACCACACCACTCTTCGCTCAGATAGCACTTGTATAATTACCATAACTAATAAGAGTTCATCCCAAAAAGGGATTGATCAACGGCAAACGCTTTACCTTTATCGTTTAATTAGAGTTCAAACTTCTAACGAGATGAGTAGCCTAGCCGATCCCAGCAAAGAGACGTTAAGTTGAATGCTTCAACACAGAAATATTTATTTGTTTATTTATATTTATTTGTTTGTTTCCCTTTTTTCGACCAACAAATGGAAACGAGCTTACCCGCTCACGAAAGTCATCAGGAAAGCTTACGTAAAGAGTTACGAGGTGAACGATACTGTAAGAATTACACTGAACTCTTGAATAAGTAGATGGCTTCAAACCTTTCGGATCGACGCGCGATGGAACCCAAAGCGCTTGCTGAACAGTTTATCTGGCAAGAACAAGTCGTGAGATAAATGGTGAGGTACTGCAACGTCGTTCGAAATGCAAATTGAGAGAGGTCTTGCAAAATATAGTCACTGTCTGTAGAAAGCTATCCAACGAAAAATAACGCAGTTGTTTCCATCAAGCATACTACATAGATTGCATGTTTACTTGACCTCGTCGGCGACCCGGGACGATTTTATACGTTGATGACGGCCATGACAATGGACAAGACTTTGCTTATCAGGTATAAGTCAGGAATTTTTTCAGCGCGAGACTCCCATTGAAGCAGCCTTCATATTGCGTCTTCGTAGCTTGCGATAGTAGGCGATAGGAGGTTGTTAGTGGTACCGAGATGAAGAAATAAAATGAGAAACGGCTCAGGACCTCAAGAAATGGGACCCCTTCCTTGCTTGTTGACTCCGGTGCTGCCCTCTTCAACTCTAACGCTTTCTGTGTTCAAGATCTGCGCAGCGAGTGGTGGCGGACGTGTCACAGCGATCGTGCCGTGGGAGGTCCACACTAAGTCGCCAGGGGCATATCCTTCGCTGCAAATTGTGTGTCGGTCCCGCCCTCAAGAACAAATTGGGATAAAAAATCTGAAAATGTCGTGTTTTAGTAATATTTGTAATGCGGAGCTCCACGTTAGCTAAGCCGAAAGAAGTTGAATAAATCATTCGAAAGAGACATTGATGTCTGACGATGGTGATCCCGCTGAGTATAAACCCGACCAGGAAAACGACTTCAAGTGCTACCACCTTCGCTCAAGATATCCTTGTATACAGTCACCAATACGAGCTTAATAGAGCTTTCAATTCCTCAGAAAGGGGATTGAATCAACTTCAAAGGAATGAAGACGACGAGCTTTTAACTGTTATTCGTTTTAAGTATTATGAGTTCAAACGTCTAACCCGAGATGAGTAGCCTAGCCGATCCCAGCAAAGAGACGTTAAGTTGAATGCTTCAACATGCTTCAACACAGAAATATTTATTTGTTTATTTATATTTATTTGTTTGTTTCCTTTTTTCGACCAACAAATGGAAACGAGCTTACCGCTCATGAAAGTCATCAGGAAAGCTTACGTAAAGAGTTACGAGGTGAATCGAATACTGTAGGAATTTCACTGATGTCTTGAATAAGTAGATGACTTCAAGAACCTTTCGGATCGACGCGCGATGAAACCCAAAGCGCTTGATGAACAGTTTATCTGGCAAGCCAAACAGGGCTCGAGGAAGTCCGTTGAGATATAATGGTGGGCACTGCATACGAAGTTGAAGTTGACCCTATCATGCCTCAAAGCTGGCGGGTCCGGCGATCTCCGCCCACCGATCATCTGATCACTCGCCGTAGTTCAATACGTGGCGAGTGATTAGATAGCTGAGAGAGCGTAGTGTTGAAGAGGGCACAGCGATGAGAGTCGCATCAATGCTCGAATCAACGGGCAAGGAAGGGGTACCATTTCTCGGGTTCTGGGCCGTTTCTCATGGTTCTTCCTTCTTTCGTGTACCACTCACCATCCCTAGGTTAATTTGAAATGGGTTGCTTTTTCATCGTGAATTCGTCCTTTAAAGAATCCCATTCTTTCGGTTTCTTGGAACGCGTTTTCTTTAGAGTCTTGAACTGCCGCAACGACATTCGCCGCATTTAGTCTCATTGGTCATTGAACACAAAATACTCCGCGAGCACTACTCGAAATTCAAAAATTCGAGTGGTGGTCTGCATACATCGCCAAAATATCTATAATATTCAGAAAACAGTATAATTGATGAATGGTTTACGAATGAAGTGATCATGCAAATCACTAGTTTGAAGAAGTCGATCAGTGATTAGCACAAGCAGGTTCGCTGCGATCGGACAGTTTTTTGTGTAAGGTTCCCATTCGCTGAACACCGTACACAGTGTTTACGTGCCAACGCCTCAGTTCGGGTTTCCTATGCAATACAGTGGCTCAAAAATCGCTATCCTAGGACGACATCTCTAACCATTCGAAAACATGAAGTAAATGGGAAGTTCACCCCACTCCCCATTGATGAAATTCGTAATTTTCACTTGAACATATTTTATTCCTATGAAGAGCGCTAAAAACAGGGCTTACCGTGCGTTGTGCCATTTTCAAAATTTTTACAACCCTCCTCCTTAGGGGTTCTCAGTACGAACCACAGCTAACTATGTAAATATTTGCGTGCATTTATGCATTTTTGTTCAATAAAAATGATTTCCCTAAGCTATGCTTGAGGCTAACGTCGTGCCGGACTATGTCCCTCTCACAATCAGACTACGGGAACGATTTGCGCATGAACTTCGAACAAACCTATTTTCCTTCAGATTTAACACTTTCAATAGCACAGGCTCTGCTGTAAATGCTCACACTTTCATGTAACTACCCGACTTTTCCCAAAACATTCAAAATCCCTTCTGTTATGAAGGGAAAAAGTAAACCTATGAGGGTACGCAATTCTTCGTTCAGAGGGGTACGAAATCCTTC